TCCAGCTCCAGCCCCCCAGCCATTCCCGATCAATGGGCCACAGGGGCCGCGGAGGGCCTGGGGGAGGCACTAGGGCCTGGGGGAGGCACTGACCGTGCCCTCTCACCAGGACGGCCTGGCCAGGGCCCAGGGCAGCTGGAGTGGGCTCGCTTGGGGGTTTGAGTGGGAATGTGGGGCAGCGGCAGCCCTAATCCTGAGGACCAAAGCCCCCCACTGGGTGCAGGAGGTGGGGTCCTCCTGACAGTGGCAGACAGGTCCCCCAAAGACCTCCGTCTTCCCATCTGAACTTCCCGCGGGTCTCTTCCGCCAGGAGGAGCTGGCCCAGTGGGGAGCAGCAGCCTGAGCCCCTCTGGTCTAAGGTCCTACACAATCCCCCTAGTTAGGGGGGTGTCCAGGTGGGCGGTCTCGGGACCGTGTCTGTTGGTCTTCCCCAGCCGGTGCCTGGCCCGACCAGTGCCGGGCCTTCAAGGGACACTGGTCACTGGTCAGAACAGCAGGGGGCTGGGGTCCCCCGGTTGCTACTCTCACTTTGACGGCGTTATCTGGCCATTTGGTCCAGGTGGGCTCTCTGAGTGGACCCCCGTGAGCACCTCTGGGTCCAATTTCACAGGCTACCGAGGTACAACCACCTCGGAGGGGACCCCAAGGACAGCTGACCCCCGGAATCTGGCCCTGGGGCGTGGGGGAAGGGGTCATGCTAGAGAACTTATTGGGGCTTATCTGGGTGCCCCTGAGCCCTGCTGAGCTGGGAAGGCGCCTGGCCCACACCAGAGACGCTCCGGAAGGTGGGGCGCTGCCAGCCGGCCGGGTGCGGGGTGCCCGTGCTGGTGGTGGGCGTGCTCGGCGCTCCTGCGGCCACCCCATCTCAGGATCCAGCAGGTGAGGGGAAGTGTGGGGGTGCTGGCGCCAGGCGGAGTGGAGTGTCTGCCGGCCTGAGGCCACGCCCTGCCCGGCGCCCACACTCCGCCAGCTGCCTCCCCGTGCAGCAGCGGCCCGAGGCGCTGCTGGCCCTGGCCCTGCCCCTGCCCCTCATCTGTCTGCCTGCCAGCCTGTCCTGTCCCGGGCGCCGCGGATCCTTCACACCTTCTCATCTCAGCGCTCAATAGCGGGAGGCGCGTGGCAGCCGTGGCCGCGGGGAGATGGATGGGCTGGGCTGGGGGAGGGGCTGCGCCGGCTGCGGCCCTGGTGGCCAGCGCTCTGCTGCGGGCTCAGGCCGCTGAGGCCCCGCCCTGCCCCCCCCAGCCTGAGGGAGGTGGTGGGGCTGGGGCAGGCGCAGGGCAGGTGAGCGCAGTGTCCCTCCTTAGCGCCTGGTGGGCTGCTCTGGGTGGGGAGAGCCTTGTGAAGCTGCCGCTAGCCCCCCAGGCAACCTGGGTGCACCGGCAGGCTCTGTGGGGCCGCACCCCGCTCTCTGCAGAGGAGCTGAGGTGCTGAGGCACAGGGGCCCACGCGTGGACACCCACACAGCCGTGCACGGGTATGGACACAGCTTCTGCTCTCCTGGCCCCGCCTCTGGCCCCGATGTGGGGGGTTGGGAGGCCGCAGGGAGCGCCCCCTCGGGACATCCCTCTCCCGCCGGGCAGTTTTCCCCAGACCTGGGGTCTGCCCTGGGTGCTGATGGGCAAGGTGGGCACAGGGACGCCACCCTGGCGCCGTCACACGCCGCGAGTGGGAGGTCACGCCTGAGGCCCTGAGGTCACCGGAGGCCGCGCAGACCGAGCGAGGCTTCATGTCACAGGAGGGAGCGGGCGCGGGAAGGCGCGGCACAGGGCAGGGGAGCGGGCGTCCCTGGCTCGCGCTGGGCCTCAGGACCCTGTCCAGATGGGAGGCTGGAGCCGGCAGCCGCGGGGGCGTTAGGGACCCGGTGGGGCAGGGCGGGGCGGAGAACGAGCGCCTCCGCCTGGAAGGAGGCGATGCGCTTCTCGCTTCTCGCAGTGGGCGGCCTCTTTGGGCACACTGTGGACTCGCCCTGGTGTAGCACGTCCTTGAGATAATAGATCAAGTTACAGAGATTATTTAGTCGGTTACTATGATATCGTAGATATACCAAGAATCATAAAAGTAGAAAAAGCTGCTCAGGCCACCGTGGCTGAGGATCTACCGAGCTGCTGCTGGTCTACCGGCTGGTGGCGGGGCAGAGGGTGCGGCGGGGTGCAGGCGGGGTCACTGGCCGCGGTCCTGGGGCCTCTTGCCCTTCTTCTTCTTGTCCTCCAGCCGCGGCTTCAGGGCGCAGACGCAGGGCGCCGAACAGCTGGAAGATGGGCGCACCGGGCCAGAGAGGCTGCAAGTCTCGGTCCTGCGAAGAGAGTCGGGCGCTGAGGTGGCCAAGCAGACCCGCCCCGCCCAGCACAGCGCCCCGAGGGCGCCCGCAGCTCCAGCCGGCTCCGGGCCTGGAAATGGAGACGCGGGTCAAGGTGCCCGCCGGCGCCCCCTGCGGGCGCAACGGGGCAGGGCGCGGCACTGTGCGGCCGGCGGCAGCCGCGGCAGCTCCGGCTGATCCGCCGGGGAAGGGACCCACAGGGCGCCGCAGACCGTCTCCCGCTGCACCCCCAGCAGTGGATCTGCCTTTCTGCCCTCCGCTCTGCCTCTGGTGGTCCTCTCACCCCCCGCACCTCTGGCCTATACCCCACTTCTTCTAAGTATAACTAAACAAAATAAATCTCCCACAAGAAAGACGCCCGCCTTTGCAGGGGGCAGCCCGGCAGTGCCGGGCCCAGATCTGAGGCCTGGGTTCAGTCCTGGCTGCTGTGTGACCTTGAGCGAGCCCTTGGCCTCTCTGTTCCTCAGTCTCCTCGTGAGTTAAACAGGAATCACAGACTACCCCACCGGTCATCCTGAGGTTGACGTGAGCAGATAACAGCACTTGAAAAACAGCGCCTGGCACAGAGCCAGCACAATACACACCTGAAAACTGGGGCCAGGGGGCTCGCAGGGGCTGCCTGACTTAGCCTGTGCAGGGAGGTGGGCAGGCGGGCCGGCCTCTATCACAGATCAGAGGTGCCTCCACCCCCGTGAGGCTGTTTGAGTAAAATACTCAAAAGGAAACACGATGAGGCGACAAGAGTGGGACAGTCAGACGGATTCTGAGTTTTTCTGACCACTGTTACCTTGGGCCTTTAAAATGTGCCTGGACACGGGGATCGCAATTGGGATGGAAAAAAAAATACAAAATGATGTAAAAATAAAATGCTACGTTATTTAAAAAAAAAATGTGCCTGGAAATACCCAGCCCCCCCTCCCCCCATATCGCTCCCTTTTGCAGGCGCTGCCTCGCCCCCACGTGCCAGTCTGTCCGCTGGGTCAGACCAGGGACCACGGGGGTGCCAGGAGACACCCGCTGCCCATTCAGAGGCGAGCAGGCCGAGGGGGCCCGGGAGCAGAAACCACCCTCCTTACAGTGGGGCAGCGCTACCCTGGGGGCGCTGGGGGAGCGGATGGATCCTGGGAGTCTCTGGGCACAGAGAGGCAGAGCTTTGGGGGGGGAGGGTGCTGCCAGCACGACAGGTGGCCTCCCGAGGTCCCGCCCACTGAGCTGAGGCCTGGGGCGCCGGCCCTGGGGCCCCCACACAGCTGGAAACAAGGGCCCCTCTGGCAAGCCTGCTGGAGGGCGCCCCCGTGTGGCCGCAAACAGCAACAGCAGGTGGGCCCGGGCCTGCCTCCCTGCTGGAGCTGCGCAGGGCCCAGAATGGGAACCTGGAGAGGGGGCAGGCGCCCGCCTGGGGGACTTAGCAGCGGTAAGGAAAAGTTCCACATTTGCACATCCAAGGGAAATCTGCTCAGGTCCACAGCACCCCCTCCCTCGCCTGGCCTCCAGGGACCAGAGGGGCTGTCCAACCTGCTGAGGAGGCGCCCTGAGGACCTCTGAGGGAGAGCCAGGCCTGGGTGTGGGGTCTCCGGGAGGGAGTGGGGATAGGGCACAGGAGAGGCCAGGCTCCTGTCCTTCTTTCCTGACTCCGTGGTGCTGGCCACTGCTCAAGGCCGTGTTGTGCCATCTGGGCCTCAGACCCCCAGGCTGGCTCGGGTACCCCCACCACTCACACACCCCTGCAGCAGAGGGTGCACGGCGCCTGCCAGGTCCCCGGCCCTGTAGGCCTCCATCTCCAACGGCAGCACCTGTGTGGGGGCTGGGTGAGCCCAGCGGGGGGACGCCGGGACTGAGCGAGTGTCTGGGGCTCCGGGGGCTCTGGGCCAGGTCCTCGCCTCTTTGGGCCTCAGTTTCCCCGCAAGTCCGTGGGAGTCTCACCCTGGCTGAGCGGTGCCCACCAGGGCCCTCATCCTGGAGCACAGGTCTGCCCGCAGCACGCCTCGCCGCCAGGCCCAGCTCCAGGCCTGGAGAGCAGGAGGAGGGGTCAGGCGCCGGGGGCGGGCTCAGACCCTGGCCCCTCCCCGAGGCCCCTCCCCTCCCCTCCCCGAGGCCCCGCCCCTCCCCGAGGCCCCGCCCCTCCCCGAGGCGAGCCCCACCCATTCCATTCTTGGCCACCGAGTCCACGCTGTAATTCTTCCTCTGGCAGCTGGTACAAAAAGACCCGGCAGGGCAGGTCAGAAGGACAGCCTGGAGGAGGTGACCTCTGTCTGGATTTCTCTATACTGAAAGAAGAAAGGACATCACGGGTGGAGGGAAGCGCAAGGGAGGGGAGTTTGAGGTGGGGATCTCTGTGCCAGGCAGGGACAGGCAGCGACCCCCCGCGGCCAGCACTCCTGTGAGGAAGGCGCTGGTGAGGTGCGGCTCAGCTCACCGCCCACGCAGCGGCAGCAGGTGGCGTGGCTGCGGGGCGGGGCTGGCCACACGGCCCGGCGGAGAGGCCAGGGCTCTGCAGCTCCCGGCCGCAGCCAGACAGCTCGCTGCCGTGGGTGCCCCGGCCACTGCCACGCGACGCAGGGGGTCTCGCAGGGGCAGCGAGCACAGTCTGGGTCGGTGTGGCGCCCGTGGGTGCTCTGCGGAGGCAGCTGGCCCAGCCGGCTCCGAGCGGAGAGGGAGGCCGGCAGGCTGCGGCCTGTCAAAGACCACCCCCTCGGGGCTTCCCCCTCTGGCACCCTCAGCCACAGGCCACCCCTCAGGAACATGCTGTGTCCTTGCTGTCCTGGAGGGCCGGGGCTGGCCCTCAGGGCAAGGGGGCCCCTTGCAGCCTCTGACAAGCCTCCTGTTTGTTGAGGACAGTAACTCAGGCGTCCTTCGAGCAGCAGGTCCTTCTCCGCAGGTGAGAAGTGACCCAGACGCATCTTACAGATGCGGAACTGAGGCTCAGACAGGCCCAGGGCCCCGAGGGCCCCAGAAGCAGAGCAGCCTCTCCCTGCTGCTCTCGGGCAAGGTGGGAGGGAGGGGTGGGACACCGCCCCGCTCAGCTGCAGGGGCGCTGAAGAGTCCACAGGTCACCTAGGCCGGAGGCAGCGCTCGGGAGGGACGGTCCAGTTGGCCGCTGGCTGCCCCTGAAGCCAGGCACCAGCCCTAGATTGGCCCCGGGCGTCTGGCGGCCTGCTTTGCCACCAGAGTAGCCTCGGGCTGGCCCGGCTCCAGGCCCAGTGCGGGGCCCAGTGACGGGGGTGGACGAAGCATGAGGCTGGGTCACCAGGCGCCGGGCCTCCCTCCGGGAACCCCGAGTCTCAGCTAAGGGAGCAGAAGCCTGCACGGGTCATGGGGCCCTGCCGGCCACGCCAGGCCGGGCAGCTGCTGGCCCTTGGACAGAAGGAGCAGACCTGGGCCCCAGGGGTGGAAGGACTCGGACCTGGCCGAGACCCCTGACCCTGACTGTGTGAGGGTGAGGGTGGGGGCGGTGGGGGTGGCCCAGTCGGCTCCCTCCTACTCCGCTCCCTGCCCTCTGGGGCTGGGGTCTCAGGGCTGGGCTGCCGAGGCCCCCTGCAAACGCGGGGTTCTGCTGACGGGGCCCTGGGGGGGGGAAGGAAGGGCCTGCTCAGCAGACCCCAGGCCTGCTGGGGGCCAGCTCACTTCCTGCCGGGAGGGGCTGGGCCCAGCTCTGCGGAGACAGCGGTAGGGCCCTGGAAAATTTCACTTCCCTTGAAAGGTGTCCAGTTTCCCCATTTCAGAGGGTGTTTATAGCATGGGAGGATGTCGGGGAGCCGGGCCAGCTCCCCCAGAATCAGCAGCCTGACGCCTGTGGAGCGTGTGCCCCTGTGTGAGGCCCTGTGTGTTCACTCGCTGTCCTGGCCGTGGGCAGCGCGGGGCGGCCATCTCAGGCTCTGGGCCCACGAGGCAGCGCAGGACACTCAGCGGGGCCCCGGGTGTGAGCGGCTGCTGCGGTGTGGACAGTGGGGCCTCAGAGGGGCTCACCGGACACTCCAGAGCCGGGCCAGGAGGTCCGGGAGGACTAAACAGAGACTAAGTTGGAGGAAAGGTTTGCAGCCCACCGTGGCCGGGGCGTCCCCGCCCCGCCCCCCAGCGGTCCCTGGGGGCTGCTTCTTTCCTCTAAGCAAACCTTACTTTTTGTTTAAGATTTATTTATTAAGTGTACAAAAACTGGGGTGCAGGCCAGAGGTGTGTGGGGGTGAGAGGATTCCCCAGAGACAGAGCGGGGAGCGGAACAGGCGGGTCGACTGAAGACCGCTGCTGAGAGGGCCGCGGGGGGACGGGAGGGGTCTGCCGCGCCCTGGGCCCCCCGCCGGGGTCCGGCTGCAGCGGCTGCCACAGCTTCCCAGGGCTGAGACTTGCCCCCGCGCCCCGCCAGCCACCGGGGCGGCCAGACGTCACTCTCCCGCGCGGTTTCTTTCTCTGCCTAACTGAAACGGCTGCGGTTTCCTTTCCACGGCTCCGTGGGACAAGAGCCTGGTGGTTCCAGGGCTCGACTTTCCCTCCACACCGGTGTCCGTGGGACGGCTGGGTGGCACCCCTGAGCCCGAGATGAGAGGGTCCTAGGTTCTGGTGCGCGTCTGACCTGCGACGGGGGTGGGGCCCCCCTGCCCCAGGGTGGCCCCTGCGGCCCTCTGGCGCCCCATGCCAAAGGGAAGGAGCCGGAAATGGCACAGCCCAGCGGGAAGCAGGAACCCCTGGGTCCTGCTCCTTGCTGCAGCTGGGGAGATTGAGACCCAAGAGGGACCGGGCCTGAGTGAACCCCCAGAATTGTAATGTTCGGCCCAGGTGAGCCACGTGACCTGAGAGCCGCTGGCCAGCGGCTGTGGAGTGCCTTGCCTGACCGCCCAGCGTCTCAGCCAGGCGCTGACTCCAGGGGTCTTCTCACACCTCTCCGTCACCCACACCCACCCATTCACCTGCTGGCTCATCACCCACCCACGCATCCTCCTGCCCCACCCATTCACCACCTGCCCTTCTCTCCTCTCACCTTCCATCCACCCCGCCAGGCAGCTTCCTCTGTCCAGCTGCGAAGGGGCCCCACCCCTGCTCCGGCTTTCTGGACGCCACCCCTACTCCAGTGACTGGAAACTACGACTCCCAGCCCCAGGGAGAGAACTGCGAGGCCCCAAGGCTGGAGCCGAGCAGCGTTCCGGGACTTTGGGGGATGAACAGGGCGTGGATTTCCAACTGCAGCCACTGCCGAGACCGTGTGACGGGGCCAGCAGCCTGAGTGTCGGAGCAGAGCTCGAGTGAGCCAGCTACCTTGTATCCCGCTCTCTCCCTGGCTTGTTTCCTTTTCCTTTCCCCTTTTTGTAAATCAACCCATGACCCTTTCCGTATGCGCCTGCAGAAAGCTACATTCTGAGCGTGGGTGAGGCCCACCGACAGGCAGCCAAGTCCACCCTGGGCTGCCCGCAACACTCACTCCTCGTCATCGCTCCGGTCCTCAATGCGCCCGGCTGAGCACTTTTCCTGAGTCCACACTGTCCCTTCTTGGGCTCTGCCATCCCCAGCCCTCCTCAGGGTGTCGGGAATGGTACTTCCCTGCCCCTCCAGCTCAGACCCCCTACAACGAGCCCGGTCTTCACGGAGCCCGCTGAAGCCAGAGTGCCCCAGAACCTCCGGGAAGGGTGCGGAGGCGGGCACGACGGCCGGATGTGCTCTGCCCCTGCCCTGCGCCTGCGTTTCTCAGTGATGCCCACCACCAGCTCTGCTCCGAATGCCGGTGTACGTTCAGCTCACCTGCACCCCGTGTCTAGACTCAGGTTCTTCACCCGTCAGATGCAGGAGCAGGTGTCTATTCTGCTCACCGGCCAACGTCCGGGACAGCCGAGCCAGCGAGCACACAGCCCCTCCCGTGCCCACAGCAGACATCACTAATCAACCACTGCACAAGCTCCTGTTACCTCCACGGGCCGCA